TGTGAGCAAATTAGCTGTAACTTTTGTTTCAAACCACTCCTTTTGTTGTGGTTTGTAATACATCAATGTTGTTGCTGTTGTGTGCCTTCAAGTCAGTTCTGACTCATAGTCACCCTATATAACAGAGTAGAGCAGCCCCGTAGGATTTTCCGGGCTGAAATCCTTATGGGAGCAGATTGCCAGGTCTTTTCTCCTGAGGAGCTGCTGGGTAGGTTTGAACTGCAGCCCTTTCTATTAGCAGCCTAGCACTTAACCACTGTGCCACTAGTAGATAACTAACAAAAAACCAAAAACCAATAGCCATCAAGTTGATTCTGATGCGTAGTGATCCCCTGGGTTTCAGAGTAGACCTGTACTCCATATGGTTTTCACAGTTCCAGTCTTTACAGAAGCAGATCACCAGGCTTTTCTTCCAAGGTGCTATGGTCATCCAGTTAAGACAAATAAAAAATGATGAAGACTAAACTAAAATAGTGGTTGCTGGGATGGAGAAAAGTGGGCACATTCAAGTTATGAAGGAGGAAGATTCATCCACGCACAGTCATGGGGGTGAGAAATACTCTTTGCCTTGGAGTCAACCAATCTCATCCCGGTAGTAGTTGGCACTTGTTTTGAAGATGGCAGTTTATTTAACAATTCAAAATAAATAGCAATCTCTCGTTTGAATTCCAAGCTTATCAAGCAAATTTAGCAAATGGATGCTAGTAACTGAGCCTTCTAGCACATTTGGAGATTATTAATACATTGAAATTCTGATTTTATATACCAGTTTTCAAAATGATACTAAACAAGCAATCCTGCATTAAAAACAAAACCAGCAAACAGAATAATGACCCACCTATATGGTCTGTATGGTTAGCTCCAGCTATTTTCAGATTGTAATGCTTGATTGCGGGAGGAGGAGGTGTATAAAAAATATTTTAGGGCCAGGGAAGCCCTGGTGGCTCAGTGGTTAAGAGCTACAGCTGCTAACCAAAAGGTCGGCAGTTCGAATCCACCAGTTGCTCCTTGGAAACCCTATTGGGGCAGTTCTACTCTGTCCTATAGGGTTGCTATGAGTTAGAATTAACTGGACAGCAATGGGTTTGGTTTTTGGTTTGGGGGAAATATGAATATAAACTCTGTGTTAGATGATGTTGGGAAATAGTGGTAATTCATTTTAGATGTGATAGCACTATTGTGATTATGCAAGAGCATGTTCTTATCTTAGCAGAAGTATACAGGGTATTTTGGAGTGAACTATCATGACATTTGTGATTGACTTTTGAGTGGCCAAGGAAAAGAAGAATCCAGGTGGTGAGTATATGATTGTTCCTCCTACTATTTTTTGAAATCTTATACATGTTTAAAAATGCCATGTGGAGAATAAAGGTAGAGAACTAAATTTGGACACTGACAGGTTGAGTATTCCAAGACAAACCGTGAACACTTAGAAACGCTTTGCTGCAGAAAGATTAATTGAAATTTCATCTCCATGTTCTTTTTCATATGTAAATTGCCACGGTGCTTAGATATTTTTAAAGTTTAAAAATAGCAGTTTAATTAGGTATGATTGTTTTCAGTAGATTTGATCAGAAAACAGCAATCTTAAAATTTCAGTCTCTACCATAATTACCTTTCTCAACTGGTTGTAATGTACTCTTGAAAGATTTAGCTCTATTTGGATCAAAGCTAAAACGAGTGACTAGGAACTAATTAAACGATTTTCAATTTGAACGTAAGAACTGAAAATTATAAACATATAATGGATAAATCACTTACAGATTTTCATACGTAAAACGGATTGAAAGAGACTATGGAGAAAAATAATTAAGCTTAACAAGTGGGACTATGCAATTCACTTTCCTTGTTTCAATAATGAAACTTAGTTTCGTTTATTTGGTGAGCTTGTTTTTAAATTCAGAGAGGTTGAAACCCTCATGAAAGAAGACAGGAGATAGGGGCTGCTGTTGCCTAATATATTTTTCTGGACTCATTGAGGGCAAAACAGTTCCTCCTTCTCATCTGTAACGTTTACAGTTTCCACTGCCCTCCGCCTACCGGTCCCTGGAATTGCTGCCATTAGCAGTGGTTGGGAAAACTTACAGTCCTTTGATTCTCAGTGGGGAAGGGGGAGAACCAGAGGGAGGCGCCACTGGCAGCTGCCCCACCACCAAGAGTCTTCCACTGTGCTTCCTACTGGCACTTTCTATTCATGTAAGGAATGTTATAGTACTTCCCCTTCAAGGAGCCCTGGTTGCCAAATGGTTACATACTTGGCTGCTAACCAAAAGGTCTACAGTTCCCACAGCAGAAAAGACTTGGCAATCTGCTCCCTTAAAGATTATTGTTGTGTTGTTAGGTGCCATCAAGTTAGTTCCAACTCATAGCGACCCTATGTATAACAGAACACAACGCTGCCCAGACCTGCGCCCTCCTCACAATCGTTGCTACGTTGGAGCCCATTGTTGCAGCCACTGTGTCAATCCACCTCATTACGGGTCTTCCTCTTTTTCACTGACCCTCTACTTTACCAAGCATGATATCCTTCTCCAGGGTCTGGTCCCTCCTGATAATATGTCCAAAATACGTGGGACGAAGTCTTGCCATGCTTGCTTCTAAGGAGTGCACCGGGTATACTTCTTCCAAGCCAGATTTGTTCGTTCTTCTGGCAGTCCAGGGTATATTCAACATTCTTCATCAGCTCCATAATTCAAATGCAACAATTCTTCGGTCTTCCTTATTCCTTGTCTAGCTTCTGTATGCATATGAGGCAATTGAAAATACCATGGCTTGGGTCAGGCATACCTTAGTCCTCAAAGTGACATCTTTGCTTTTTAATACCTGAAAGACGCCTTTTGCAGCAGACTTGCCCAGTGCAATACGCTGTTTAATTTCTTGACTGCTGTTTCCAAGGGTGTTGATTGTGGATCCAAAGAAAATGAAATCTTTGACAATGTGGAGTTAGAAAACCAAAGGGAAACGTGCTCGGCATTTCTCTAGCTGGAAGAACTGAAGAAAACATTCAAGCCTCGAGTTGCAGTATTGGAGGATTATATGGGCAAAATATTGAACATTGAACCCATTGCCGTCGAGTCCATTCTGACTCATAGCGACACTATAGGGCAGAGTAGAACTGCCCCATAGGGCTGCCAGGGAGTGGCTGGTGGATTCAAACTGCCGACCTTTTGGTTAGCAGCCAAACGCTTAACCACTGCACCACAAGGGCTCCATTGAACACTGAAGGAAGCATCCAAAGAAGATGGAAGGAATATACAGAGTCACTGTACCAAAAGAAATTGATTCATGTTCAACTATTCCAGGAGGTAGCATGTGACCAAGAACTGGTGGTGCTGAAGAAAGAAGTCCAAGCTGCACTGAAGGCATTGGAGAAAACAAGGCTCCAGGAATTGACAGAAGACCGACTGAGATGTTTCACCAAATGGATGCAACCCTGGAATTGCTCACTTGCCTATACCAACTGACTGGAAGAAATCCATATTCGCGCCCATTTCAAAGAAAGGTGATCCAACAGAATGCAGAAATTATTGAACAATATCGTTAATATCATATGCAAGTAAAATTTTGCTGAAGATAATTCAAAAACGGTTGCAGCAATATATTGACAGGGAACTGCCAGAAATTCAAGCTGGATTCAGAAAAGAATGCGGAATGAGAGATATCATTGCTGATGTCAGATGGCTCTGGGCTGAAAGCAGAGAATACCAGAAAGATGTTTACCCGTGTTTTATTGACCATGCAAAGGCATTCAACTGTGTGGATCGTAACAAATTATGGGTAACATTGTGAAGAATGGGAGTTCCAGAACACCTAATTGTGCTCATGCAGAACCTGTACATAGACCAAGAGGCAGTCGTTCAAACAGCAAGGCGATGCTGTGTGGTTTAAAGTCAGGAAAGGTGTGCATCAGGGGTGTGTCCTTTCACTATAGTTCTTTAATCTGCATGCTGAGCAAATAATCTGAGAAACTGGACTATGTGAAGAAGAACGCAGCATCAGGATTGGAGGAAGACTCATTAACAACCTTTGATATGCAGATGATACAACCTTGCTTGCTGACAGCGAAGAGGATTTGAAGCACTTGCTGATCAAGGTCAAAGACTACAACCTTCAGTATGGATTACACCTCAACATAAAGAAAACAAAAATCCTCACAACTGGACCGATGAGTATTCACGATAAACAGAGACAATATTGCAGTTGCCAAGGATTTCATTTTACTTGGATCCTTTAAAGATTATGGCCTAGGAGACCCTATGGGGCAGTTCCACTCTGTCCTATAGGGTCGCTGTGAGTTGGAATCCGCTGAATGGCACACAACAACACTTCCATGCTCAGGTGAGTTGTTTTGCAGAAGATAGGCCCGACTCCTGGGTCAGTTGGAGAAAGTGAATCACCCCCGCCTTTGAAGACGCCTGAAACGCTTAGTAGTCATCACTGACATCACCTCTTTTCTGGACTCTGATTACACTTCGTGCCCTTCACCTTACACATCTCTTCAAATTCCTGAGTCATGCTCTGTTTATGTTGCTGTTCTAGGAGCAAGTTGTGACATGGACCCAAACAAATGTGACGTGAGCGTGAGGAAGGAGGGTTGATGGTGGGAGGTGCCGGCGGGTGCAATTAGAGGGGCAAAGGGCAAAATGCAAGCACGGGACATTTCTGCACTGGTCAAAAAGGATCCCAGCTCCCCCATTCTTTTTTTTCTCCAGATCCCAGATCCCAACAAGCTGGAAAAGGCTGGATTCTAGTTCTTTGTATTTATTTTGGGCCCAACCAAGAAACAGCAGAGAGGGAAGAAGACGTTTTCAGAACAGTTTTTTTCGTTTTGTTCGTTTTAAAACGATTGTTAATATTACATTGACGTTAAAATAGCAAGCAAACTATGTCATGTTCGCAGTGGGATCTGCTGGGAAAGGTTTAGACAGAAGGAAGATACTCGGAAACAGACAATGTATTTGTCCACCCCCATCCCGCGCTGTTGAGAACGCTGGGGGCGGGACAAAGGGCGGGGTTTGTGTTCCCAGCTCCAGGGGAAAGCCGTCTGGATTCCTCTCCCTGACCATCCCCTACTGCCAGGCAAGGTGACCAGAGAGCCCTTCTGAACGCTCTGCCAGGTCGTGTGGTGGCAGGAGTTGGCGTTTCCGATTCTGATACGCGCTGCAGTCTGCCGGGGAGAAGCAACACGCGAGAGACGCAGTCGCCAGCGAGGAAGGCAGGCCCCGTCTGGGGATTTTAGAAACCCTGCGGTCCATCATGAAGTTCCAGTATAAAGAGGACCACCCCTTTGAATATCGGAAAAAGGAAGGAGAAAAGATCCGGAAGAAATATCCGGACAGGGTCCCTGTAAGTGTAATGGGAACGGGTAGGGGGGAATGGGGGGCTGGAGAGCCGGGAGTTGGGGAGTCGTGATGGCTGCCCTAAGGAACAGAAAGGTCTCCGGAGAAGGGAGCTCCCTAAAAATCCCTGAACTCCGGCCGTCCTTCGCTAGCCGCGGGAGCTAGTGGACGTTCAGACTGCGGACCTTTTCAAACCCGTGTCCCCGGGGCCCGTTCCACCTTTAAAGCTGAGCGCATCTTCAGAGCAGAGCCAGGGTCTCGAGTGACTCAGCAGTATTCAGAAGATGTGGCCTTTTTGCGCGAGATTCGGTGGGGGCCCTAGGCTGGCTGCGTTTACGAACGCACGGAAATTAGGAGCAACTGATGCCCTGGGGTTTGCTCCGATCGGTTTCTGCTGCAGATGGCTCTCCTTTAATCAAGTTCACTCTGACCTGGTGTCATTGGGCTTGGGAGGGAGAAGATGGGACGGCAGTAGAGTCCTTCTTGTATTCTATTAGGATGGGGCGGGGGTGGGGGCACCAGAAGACAGGCCTGGCCCGGAAAACAAGGTCACGTTCTGGGCCCAGCAGCCCGCTTGCCTCATCATTCTTGGCTCCAGGGAGCAAGGGTAGCGACGGCCAGCTTTCCTGGGTGCTGAATCTGATCAGATCGTACCTGGACATAAGACAGACCGAGGCCTCTTTCTCTCTTCTTTAGCCCCTGATTTATTAGTTAAAACTAGTGCAGGAGGAAAAGATGAAATATGAAGGCATCTTTCAGCATCCGGGCGTTTTTCCCGTTCTTCCCCTCCCCTCCCCCGCCCACTTGCCTGGTTTCTCGCTAACGTCGGCTGCGCAGCCCGAATGGAGGACAGAAGAAGCCTGTGGTCCGGGGAACAGCAGTTTGGGGGTTTTAGAGATGGAGGAGCCGTGACCTTAAGGTTGTGGTCTTTATCGTCAGACAGGGGCATTCGGATAATGTAACAGGTAAAGGAATTGCAATCACCTGATGTCCTTTCTTGACCTGCAGGTGTTCCTGGGCCTCCTCTAAACGGCTTCCTGAGGCACCTTGGGCCTTCGCCCAGCAGTACAGACAGACCCCTGGCGGTCCTTTCCTAGAAAGAGGAGACATCAGGGCCGTCTTTTTCCCCGGGAATTACACACAAAAGGGTTTTTGGCTAGAAAGGGGAGATGGCCTTATTATCCTATAAAGACTTCTTCGTAGTTTATGTTCCAGGTCTCTGGACCTTGGATGCCTGTTTTAACATCTTCCCCGAGTTCTGGTGGCACCAATCCCACTCTTTAGTCATAATATTTAAAAGTGAGAGCTAATGTTTACTGATACCTTACTCTGTACCCGGCGCTACCGTAAGTGTTCTCTGTACAGTGATCCAGGTAAGCCTCACAGTATTGTAATTCCTGTTTTGTAGATGAAGACTCTGAAGCACAGACCCATGAAGTACCTTTATATTGCTGGTCTGTCGCCAAGCTGGGGTTCCAGGCAGAGCTCGCTTAACCTCCATGCCCCATTGCTTCTCGATTTCTGATGCAGCTCTATTACCAGAACTAATTAAGTGCACATTGTTTGCCTCTCACTGTTAGGTATTGGAAACAGATAAAGAAACTATTGCTGCCCTCAGCAGTTCACAGGGCAGGTAGTGTGGGGCCAGAAAAGGAACTCAGTGAGCAAAATGACTACCATTTATTCAGGGCTTGCAAAGTACAAGGCACTGGGCCGGTAGGGTCACATCAAGGACAAACTGAAATTTACCTCTTCCTAAATCTAGTTAAAATTCCCATTTATTTCCCTCAAACTAGGTGCTCGCCATTTCAATTACTTACATGAATATTTCAGCTAATTCCCTCTATTCTTTTCCTGCACGTAATTTGGTGTTGATTGTTTTATTTCTATAATTTGTAAGCCATTACTCAGAGCTCATGGTTCCTACAGTTAGGTTTTAACCAGTAACAAGCCTCTGAACTGCTCACTAGCTTCTCTGCCTGTGCCCCCCTCCTCAGCGGTTATGCAGGGAGAAGAGCTCCGGGGTCTTAGTTCTGCGATTCTGTTTCTGCTTCTGGCTTCACAGGGATTTCCCTGTGCCCTTGGGCAGAGCCCTTAATCTCACTGTGCTAAATGTCCTCATTTATGGAAAAGAGGGACAGAGTCAATGATTTCTGTACCCTCTCCAGCAGGGCCATTGGTGTTATTGAAGCAATCTTGTACCCTGATTGCTCAGAAAACCTGAGTTTAGCTCCAAGCAGTATAACCTTAATACCAAAAAAACCCCAAACCTACTGCCGTCGAGTCGATTCTGACTCATAGCAACCCTGTAGGACAGCGTACACCTGCCCCCTAGGGTTTCCAAGGCTGTAATTTTTGCGGAAGCAGATTGCCACATCTTTGTCCCATGGCGGGCTGGTGGATTCAAACCACCAACCTTTCAGTTAGCACTGTGCCACCGGGCTTCCTTCTATTTAAAAGAATAAATGTGCTTGTGCCTTGGGAGGGAAGGGTTAATGGGATCTTAAAATTATGTTAATAGTTACAGTGTATTGAGAACCTGCAACATAGCAGGAAACTGCTAGGAACAGAATGTCTTTTTTTTTTTTTAAATTCATAAATAGCCCTGTAGAATATTAGCCACATTTCACAGATGAGGAAACTGAGATTCAAAGAGGCAAAGCATGTAGCCCAAGAGCCCACTGTGAGAACTAGAGGTGGGATTCCTGGACACCTAAAACTCTTTGTGGTAAACCAAGGCCTTAATGATTACCCATCTCCCCCTCCTGTCCTCCAAATCCCTATACCAAAAAAAAAACCCAAACCCATTGCCATTGAGTCAATTCCGACTCATAGCAACCCTATAGGACAGGGTAGAACTGCCCCATAGGGTTTCCAAGGAGCACCTGGTGGATTCAAACTGCTGACCTTTTGGTTAGCAGCCAAGCTCTTAACCACTATGCCACCAGGGCTCCTAGCTCTTCTTTCCTTTAGATTTTATTAACTCTGCTGCCTTCTGTATACCCTCACTGCTGGGCCTTCACTGATCTCTCCCCAAAGCTCTTCCTGTTTTTTCTTTTTAATTTAGTTTTTATTTTTAAATGTAAAGTGTGATCATGGCCTTTTGGTATTTCTGGTGCAGGGTTTTTTCCTAAACCAACCCCAAACCCACTGCCAACGAGTTGATTCCGACTTACGGTGCCCTGTAGGACAGAGTAGAATTGTCCCACAGGATTTCTAAGGCCGCAAGTCTTTACCAAAGCAGACTGCCACATCTTTCTCCCACAGAGGCTGGTGGGTTAGAACTGCCCACCTTTTGGTTAGCAGCCGCACACTTTAACCACTATGCCCCCAGGGCTCCATTCTTTTTTTTCCGTAACATGAAACGTTTTTTCACGATTTTAATCTGTCCCCTTTATTTTAAAAGTGTCAAACCCTATCCTTATGTTTATTTAGTTCTTTATAATTTACAAAGCAATTTCACGTAAAGTTTTATGGTTTACTCAAGTTTACATTGAAATAATGCTATGACTTTTTACAAACTGTGTTGGAGAGTTATCATCTTCCTTTTACTCATTAAAATACTGACACCCAGAGAGGTTAAGTGACCTGGTGAAGATCACACAGCAAGTAGAGGTACTTGTTCAGTGTTCCTGCTTCTTCCCTTTAACTTTCCTACACTTCCCATATCTTCCAACTAGAATGATCATTTTTTCTGAACTAAAAATCTAAAGCCCATCCATGATTTTACAATAGATATTTTCCTATTTATAAATTTACATGAATAAGTCTTTTTAATTCTTAAATGTCTTCTTTTTTTTTTTTGACAGACTTGTGATCCTTATAAAATGTGAACCGTTATACAAGTATATAGTGTAGCTATTGAAAATCCCTTAAAATCCTAACAGATAATCAATATTGGTATATGGATTATTGTACTGACATTACATTACAAAATGTCATTATACTATAAGAACTGTTTTAATTATTTTTTTGCTGAATAAAGTTGCTTGAAAGTACCTTCTTGGCAGTCATTCTTAAAAATTTTGACAAGTTATATGATTCAAACCACATTATCTGTACTTTTAAGAAATAGCATCTATAAGGAAAAAAAAAAATGAAACTAATAGGTGACCAGGACCATCTTAGAAAACCCAGACAGTCTTGATGCTCTACTCAAATACCTGAAGGTATATGTCCTATAGTATACCTTCCAGCTAACGTGTAATTACTTAAAATCAAGATTTTCTTCATTTTCATGATGTCTTCTCCATTATCTCTTCCTCCAGTAATGAAACTAGCCTCACTATGGAAACCCATTTCTCCCTGTATTTTGTAAGGAGTAGGGAGGAATGAGAAATGGAAAAGTCTTCCAGTAGGGCAGCTGCAGGTTGTAGAAGGACAAATACTAGTTTGGAAAGTTTTCACTCCCTTTCTCCTTGTCTCCTCCCAGGTGATCGTGGAGAAGGCCCCAAAAGCCAGGGTACCTGACCTGGACAAGAGGAAGTACCTGGTGCCCTCTGACCTCACCGGTAATGCTTTTCCCCTCCCCTGACCCTCCCTCCCATGGCGAAGCACTCTCAGTCTCTATTACATGGCTGAGAGCGTGAGATGGAAAGGAAGCACAGAGCTGGAGAAAGTGAGTGGGAGCCTCCAGAGAGCCGATGTCAACAATGAACGACACGGTGCTTCTTCTCTCGTCACCAGTTCCCTTAACGTTTCCCATTGCATTATCTGATTTGACTTACATGCAGCAAAATGCAAACTATCGAAAGGTCAGATGTCCATTTTTTTAAACCATTTTTAAAATAAATCTCGGTTAGAATGAAGTCAGTGTATTTCCAAAGGAAAACCAGTCTAGTTTCTTGGACTGATCACTTTTTAGAGATTCTCAGCTGCATACCTGTCTTCTCAGTCTAGAGTTCTTCGTAATACATTTTGTCGATTCTGTTGGGAATCATAAAAAATACGTTCAGTCTTTACCTTGGACCTTGATCCCTACTGGAATATCCATGGCATTCAGAAGAGTGTGGAAAGACTCTGTAGGTATGTTGGCTACAGAGTTAATACATTTGAACATCAGCCTTCTAGAATTTTTCAGTCTTCTCAGAAAAAGGTACTGCACTGCACTCTGTTCATTACCCGGCACTGGTTTTACCATGCTGATATTACTGGGGCCTAGGAGAACTGTCTTCATCATTATCGATTGTCTAAGGGTGGAGGTGTGGGTGGAAGTGTATTTGAAGTCAGAGTTAAACACTAGTGGGAATGTTTTCTCGGATATACCTGGTATTCCTTCTAGGTAGTTCTCAGGCTTTGAGTGGATATAGTAACATTAGGTCTGAAATAGAGTAAGGGTGAAAAGGATTGAGAAGTAGACTCATATCTTTGAGTTTCACTTATTTCTAAAGTACTAGGAAAGTATTGAGCTATGCCCAGATGGTATAGAAAGCTGGTACTTACTCCAAAGATGGAGCCCTGGTGGCACAGTGTTTAAAGCACTTGGCTGCTAACTGAAAGGTCAGCAGTTCAAACCCACCAGCTGCTCTGCCGGAGAAAGATGTAGTCTGCTCCTTTAAAGATTACAGCCTTGGAAACCCTATGGGGCAGTTCTGCTCTGGCCTGTAGGGTCGTTATGAGTCAGAATCCACTCGACGGTAACAGGTTACAGGTTACTTCAAAGGGAATCTGTACAATAGATTTTTTTCCCTGGGATTTACCCTTCTTCTAATCCCTTGTCTTCTTCCTTTCTTGCATTAAACAAACAAATGAGTTGCCGTCGTTCGATTCCGACTCATAGTGACCTTATAGGACAGAGTAGAACTGCCCCGTAGGGCTTCCAAGGAGTGGCTGGTGGATTCAAACTGCCTACCTTTTGGTTAGCAGCTGAGCTTTCAACCACTGCACCACCAGAATTTCTTGCGTTACTTCTTCTAAAACCTTCTTCCTTCCTTCATCCAGTTGGCCAGTTCTATTTCTTAATCCGGAAGAGGATCCACCTGCGACCTGAGGACGCCTTATTCTTCTTTGTCAACAATACTATCCCTCCCACTAGTGCTACCATGGGCCAGCTGTATGAGGTAATGGTGACAGTCACAACAGTATGTCAGAGTCTGTCTTTCTCTAGCTTTTGTTTCAGGGTGTGCTGATAACACACCTGGGAAGTGGGGCAGGAGGTGTTATTTATCAGGCTCCTCTTACACATGGCAGTGTAAGGCTCCGGAAGATTGGATACCACTTGCCCTTCAGGGGTGAGCACCCTACTAGACCCAATCCTTTTGAATTCCCTTCTCAGTCCTGCCTTACTGTGGTGTTTCGGTGTTGGGTTGTCTTTACTGAAATAGCAGGAGGTGGTTCCTGATTGCAAACAATTCGGATAGTTTTCCCAGTGCTGTTCCGGTCATTCTTATGGGTAACGTATAACTTGTAAATGAGCTGTGCGTTTAGGTTCCAGTTCATTATTTGATTCCTGGTTAGCAGTAGACTGAGAAAACAGAAAGCTAGCCCCTTCTCTCTCTGAAGCTGACTCTTCAAACTGATAGTTTGCCTTAAAAGCTAGCTCCCTCTGTAAATGCTCAAGTGTTGGCTTAAAACATCCACATAGACTCGAATTAGGGAAGCTTTTCTTCTAAGAATGGAACTAAGTTGATGAAGCAGAGTCTCCATGTCTGGGCACTGGTGAACCCAATTGTAGAATTAATTAATTTGTCTTAGCAGATAAACTCAGTTGGAGGAAATAATTTGGTTGATTTTATTTTATTTTATTGGTGAACTATCAGAATCTAATATGATAAGACTGTAATAAGGGACTTCATTACGCTGTAAGTATAACCTGAGATTATAATTGTATTATTTTTTAAAGGATTTACCTAAGATATTGTCTTCTCCTAGTGCCTATTAGTAAACAGCTAAACCTGTGGGAACCAGAAATCGACCGGACTGCCTTGTTTTTCTGGGTCTCGAAAATTTTCCTCCATTGACAGGGTGCAGTCTCACCACTTCTCACTCGTTTTAGTGGCAAATATTTATGTTTTCCTTCTCCAACGGTTTCTGCCTTACACAGAGTCTGGCTTTCACAGGTTTACTATATACATTTCTAACAACCGCTAATGTTTTATTCTATAGTATATATTCAATACGAGTGTGTATTCCCTGGGAGCCCTGGTGGTGCAGTGGTTAAGAGCTGTGACTGCTAACCAGCAGGTCGGCAGTTTGAATCCACCAGCTGCTCCTTGGAAATCCAAGGGGCAGTTCTACTCTGTCCTGTAGGGTCTCTGTGTCGGAATCAACGCGACGACAGCAGGTTATATGTTCTTTAGTACTATACGTTTTATATGTTTCGTTTTATCTATGTTCTCCTTACCAGAATGAACTTCTTTTTAAAAAAATTTTGTTTTTTAATCTTTTACCTTTTTTTATTGAGGTGAAATTGACATAACATAAAAGTAACTATTTTTAGAGTGAACGATGAAGTGAGTGGCATTTAGTACATTCACAGTGTTATGTAACCACAACCTCTATCTTGTTCCAAAATATTTTCATCATCCCAGAAAGAAACCTGTGCCCATTAAGCAGATGCTCCCCGCCCCAGCCTCTGGCAAGCGCAGAATCTGCTTCCTGTCTCTATGGATTTACCTACAGGATATTTCATATAAATGAAACCATACACTATGTAACGTTTTGTGTCTGGCTTTTTTCCCTTAGCGTAATATTTTTGAGGTTCATCCATGTTTAGCATGTATCAGTACTTCATTTCTTTTTGTAGCTGAATAATACTTCATTGTATGTATATACCACAATTTGTTTATCTATTCATCCATTGATGGACATTTGGGCTTTTTCTACTTTTTGGCTATTGTGAATAGTACTATTATGAACATGCGTGTACATATATTTGAGTACCTCTTTTCAATTATTTGGAGCCCTGGTGGCGCAGTGGTTAAGAGCTTGGCTAATTACTAGGAGGTCAGCAATTTGAATCCAGCAGTCGCTCCTTCGAACCCTATGGAGCAGTTCTACTCTGTCCTGTAGGGTTGCTATGAGTCGGAATCAACTTGACAGCAATGGGTTTTTTGATTTTCAGTAATTTGGGTATATACCCAGGAATGGAATTGCTTGGGTGAGCTTCTGAAAAGTAAGGACTCTGCCCTTGTCATCTTATTCCTGTACTTATGTGTATTTAGGTTCTCTGTGAAGGTTTTTTGTTTATGAACTCAGAGCTCAAAGTTTAACGTCAACCACTTATGCTTATTCTTTGTTCCTTTTTTTAAATTGGGACTATTGGTACCTTCCATGCCTACATTACAAGGTTATGTGAGGCTCAGGATCCGAGCTAACGACTGTGAATGTGTTTTCTAAACTGTCGTGTTTTCTATTCCCCTAGGACAACCACGAGGAAGACTATTTTCTTTATGTGGCCTACAGCGATGAGAGTGTCTATGGGAAGTGAGTGATGGAAGCCCAGCAGATGGGAGCACCTGGACTTGGGGGTCAGGGGGAGGGGTGTGTGCGGGACTTGGGGGAAGAGAGGGAGGGCTGCCACCATGAGGAGACAAGAAGGTAAAGACATCTGGAAACACTACACTGCACCCCGTCATCATATTTTCACATGCTCACTTGACGTTTCTGCTGCTTCCTTGGCCCCGGGGGAAAGCACGTCAGGACCCAGCTGCTGGATTGGCTTTGATAGACGAATGGCAATGGCATAATTCACAGCACTGCTGTGAATTAATTTTTGTGTGATTTCATAGAAAGCTCAGGAGTTAGGGCATGTTGGGGCCAGAGAAGATGGTGGTCCAGCAGCAACTTCCTATTCCCCCTTCTCTTTGGGCAGAGATTCTATTTTTGACATTTGCACAAAATGGCAAGGGAGAGGGGATGGGAATGTTTTAGGACTGCTGCTAGTGGACCATTCCTGGGGACCAAAAGAGTAATCCACTATATTTAAAGCATTGTGACCCCGATCTCTCCTATCTCCACACCCCCATCCCATCCCGGTTATAATCTCACACACATACGTCACACCCTGGTGGTGGCGATAGATATCAGACATCAGAGCTGGAGCGCTCTTACTTTTGGAAAATAGGGGTCAGGTGGTTATGATTATGAAGATAGTTTCGACAACATTAAACTGGAATTGACTGAGCCTGAAGCGTCTCTATCTAAGCTGCTCTTTTTCTGATGCCCTTTATCTCACATCTTCCTGTGGACTTTATTAAGTCTCAGACATTTCCAATTGTAGGCAAAAACCACTTCCGTAGCAAGTCCCAAACTGGGCTCCATGTATAGGGACAGAGATGTCTTACGTATTGAAGGGGCAGGCATGAGGCAAGACAGATCATCTACACCTTCCACTCATCCAGAATTCTTGCTCCCTTACTGCTTGATTTCCACTGTCCCTTCAGTCTCACACGCACACGAATGCTAAGTGACGGCCAGCTGCTTCGCCCCTTTGCTTTTCATCCACTGCAGCTGCTAGTTAGACAAGTGTGGGGGGATGACTTTAGTAATTCATGGGGTTCTGTTGATTCTGATTCTTTTCACTTTAGGGGTTATGATGCGGGGTGGGGGTGGGGAGCAGGAATTGCACTCAGACATGACATTTCAATCATCTCTGCTAATGAAAAGGGTCCTTCCAATTGGGAGAAGCCTATGCGTCGGTTCTGTCAGCTGCAGGTTCTTGTATAATGAAGTGTATGCTGTCAGGCCAAGGAAATAAAATAATTGCATAACTGTAAAAACCCACCATGGTTTCAGAAACATTGCCTTTATTTAGTATGCGTTAGAATAGATGGTATGTGGATTCTCTGAGCAAAAACTTGAGTGGGGGGTGGCTGTTAGCAATGAATGCTCATGTATGGCTAGAGGTGTATGTTTACTCAGTTCTTTTTGAGAAGCTGCTATCCAAAGGTGAGTGCACCTAGGTCTGGTGCGTTGGTGTGTGCTTGATTTTCTCCTCCACAGTTAAGCGCTTTGTCACTGCTTTATGTGTTTCTCAAAGCTCAAGCTGGAAGACTGCCTACATTTGAGTATCTGGGGTGGAGGCGGGGAACTGCCTATTAAAAATGCAGACACCTAGGCCTTGTCCTAGATTTAGCTGACTCAGAATCTCAGCGTAGGCGTCTGCATTTTTAACAAACTCCCCATGTGATTCTGCTGCACAGTGAAGTTTGAGAATCACCGCTCTATGCACCTAATTTTGCGGTAAGTCCCAACCACACCTAATCTGTCCACTTCATCTGGGTCAGCATGACACTATCATCTCCCAGAGCAGCATATGGCACCTCAGTAAGACTCCCGGGTCAGAATAAGCTTGGTGTCTTCTGACCATAAAAATGTCAGTCAGTCAGTCAAGAACCAGTTGTAGGGGCGTGAGTTATATTAGACAAGGAAGAAGATGAGTTGAAATTCCTTTCTTAGAGAACCTTGAAGCCCATCTCTAACCCTTTTTAATCTCTTGCAGCCATATCCTTAAGTGGGGTCTACCTCTGTAGAGTTGTATAGAATATATTGGTCACCAAAAAGGAAGTAGCGGACATAAAAAATCCATGGCAGGATTCTGCCAACCACCAAACCATGCCCTGTGTACTGATGATGGAAATGAAGTCAGGATTGAGAGCAAAGGAAAAGCTTGAGCCCAACAAGCACCACATGCAGAAAATTATGGAAATCTCCAAGGAAGTTTGATGGGGACATCAGAGTATTAGAAATGGACACTTAACAGTACTGACAGAAAAATATTGGAATATTCCCTGATAGGAAAGCCATATGGAAGCTAACAGTTGAATGTTAAGATATGAACTGTATTTTGAAACTAATAGACTTACCTGCTAACAAAACTTACCTAAGGATAAGATTGGATGAATATTTAAAAGAAAACAGAGCAGGTCCCAGCTCTCTATCCACATCTGAAGCAGTCCATGCAGTGCAAGAGACTGCAGGCCTTTGCTAAACCACAGGGTACTTTGAGTTTAGAAGCTGTGTCCTCCAGGAGGCCTTTGCTTATTTCAGTCCTAATTGTTTTTGGATTTTCCTGGTGGAATGATTTTATCCTTGGATAGGGTATCACATACCATTTTAGATGAGCCCTCTGATTTTACAGATGCATAAAGTTTAAATAACTTAGCTAAGTTCAGAAGAAGTGGTTTCATTGGGATATGGTGCTCTTTCCTGAGCAGGAGTCTCATTACAGAGTTAACTGGGACTGTCTCAGCACCACTCCTGTTTCCTGCTAGTCAAGCTTTTAAAGCTTCTTAGTACATGCAGGCCATTATTAGGAAAGTTTTGAACTAAAAGCAGTTTAGGAAATATCCTTCCAGTAACCTGGGCCCCATTTCCTATGTAAGATTGACTGATATATGGATTTCTGGGGAACAAGTTAAATGATGCATCAAATAGAATCATTCTTTCCCTTGGAGGACAGGATGACATCAGGATCAGAAATAAGTAAATCTTTAGCTCTTAGCTCTTTGGTAGGAAAATCTCAAATATTTCTATCTATCTGTAGGGTGAACAGACACATAGATTTGCGAAAGAGAATGTGGTTTATGTCTTTCGTCCCAGTTAATTTACCAGTGGTTTCTTCTTTCACTGTCACAAGTGCCCCAATTTGGACAAAAAATTATATGGTCACTTTCCTTATATTTGTTATAAAAATTGAAGTTTGCTTCCTCCATCAAGAGGGAGGCAGTGACTGTACCATCCGATACAGTATGTCCCAGTCTATCTCTTACCATGTTTGAGTCAAGTTTAGAAAAAATGATTCTACTCTTGAACAGCAGATTATTCTGCTTTATTCTATTTTGTCTCCCAGTGCTGAATTGCTTCTCTTCCTCTAAAACATTGTGCACATCTTAAAAAAGAAAAAAAAGTTTATAGACTACATTGTGAAATCAGAGGTTAAGATTGCAAAAGAACAAAATATAAACGATGGGATGGTAAACTAATGTCTAGTGGTAGATAGGCCAGTCCACTATCCACTACCTCTCCCAACTCCCAGGGCCAAAATACCATAGTCTATTGTGAACAGGTGCTCCCTGGAGTAGTGTGGTGTACAATCTTCTGACCGTTGAAGTGATCCTTTGGATACCATATTGTCAGCTATTGCCTTGGAGATTTATTATGCTTACAGTCAATTCTATATGTATGTCATTAACCATCAACTATCATAGGTATAGTATGATTTGGAGGTTTTGGTGTGTCGGGGCACACACGTCCACTTGCCTATGAATACAGCACCAAATAAGCTGTACTAATGAAAAAAAAATCTTGTCATTTCTGGAAAATTAAACAGTATATTCATTTCATCCAGTTTTTACTGTACACAAAACTTATAATCAGCTATTTCTAGCTGTGTTTTCTTTTAGGTATTTTTACTCTGACAAATTTGAGCAAGCTGTAAACCTTCAGGAAATGCCAGGGGATAGCAGTTAAGAGCTTGGCTGCTAACCAAAAGGTAGGCAGTTGGAATCCACCAGGTGCTTTTTGGAAACCCTACGTGGCAGTTCTACTCTGTCCTATAGGATCGCTGTGAATCAGAATCGACTCAATGGCAACAGGTTTTTTTTTTAATAAACATTCATCTTTTTTTTTTTTTTTTTTTTTTTAAGTTGCATGAAACCAAATACTTTAAGAAACTGGTCATTTTGTACTTGAGTGCCTCTGGGTCTAGGTTGTCACCTCCATGCAGCCTTGAATAATCTACCTAGATCGTGCCTCCTGATCCTCCTCCCCACTACCTCTTTGTTAAACTGGGTTTTACAGTAAATGGTCTGTGTTTGGTCAGCTGCAGCCTGTGACAAACTCTCCTGTGGATGAAGAAGTTCTTCAGAGCTTGTTGTTCTGTGTATTTTAATGCATGCTTAACTTTTTTTTATTAAAAGGCACAAATATTAGAGTCCTTGTCACAAAAGTTGTGAGATACTGTCTTAGTCATCTAGTGCTGCTGTAACAGAAATACCACAAGTAGATGGCTTTAACAAAGAGAAATTTATTCTCTCATAGTCCAGTAGGCTACAAGTCTGAATTCAGGGCACTGGCTCCAGGGGAAGGCTGTCTGTCTCTGTAGCTCTGGAGGAAGGTCCTTGTCATCAGTCTTCCCTTGGTCTAGGAGCATCTCAGGGCAGGAACCTCAGGTCCAAAGGACGCACACTGCTCCCGGCACTGCTTTCTTGGTGGTATGAGGTCACCACGTCTGTTTGCTTGCCTCTCTCTTTTATATCTCAAAAGAGATTGGCTTAAGACACTATCTAATCTTGCAGACCTCATCAATATAACTGCCACTAATCCATCTCATTGCATCATAGTGATAGAATTTACAACACATAGGGAAATCACATCAGATGACAAAATGGTAGACAATTATACAATACTGGGAATCGTGACCTAGGCAAGTTGACAGACATTTTTGGGGGACATAATTCAATTCATGACAGAGACAGATGGTGGGAACCTATTTGCCCTGTTGTGTTGTGGTGCCTTGCCCCATATTTGCTTCCTTCTTTCTTGCTTTTCTTTTATTTTTATAGTTATGGGCACTTTTATGTCTGGTATTTTGTAAAGACGTGTTGTTGTTAGGTGCTGTCAAATAGATTTCGACTCATAGCGACTCTTGTGTACAACAGAACGAAATACTGCCCTGTCCTGCCCCATCCTCATAGCTGTATTTATGCTTGAGCCCATTGTTGCAGCCACTGTGTCAATCCATCTCACTGAGAGTCTTCTGCTTTTTCACTGACCCTCCATTTTACCAAGCCTGATGTCCTTCAGGGACTGGTCCCTCCTGATAACATGTCCAAAGTCTGTGAGAGGAAGTGTCACCATCTTTGCTTCTAATGAGCATTCTGGTTATACTTCTTCCAAGACAAGATTTGTTCGTTCTTCTGGCAGTCCATGGTATAGTCAACATTCTTCGCTAACACCATAATTCAGAGGCATCAGTTCTTCGATCTTCCGTATTCATTGCCCAGCTTTCGCATGCATATGAGGTGACTGAAAACACCATGGCTTGGATCTGGCGCACCTTAGTCTTCAAGGTGACATCTTTGCTTTTTAACACTTTAAAGAGATCTTTGGCAGCAGATTTACCCAATGTAATGCATCGTTTGATTTCTTGACTGCAGCTTCCATGGGTGTTGATTGTGGATCCAAGTAAAATGAAATCCTTGACAACATCAATCTTTTCTCCATTTATCATGATGTTGCTTATTGGTC